GTATATATACGTGTATACGTATATATATATACACGTATATATATATACACGTATACATATATACGTAATATATACACGTATATATACATAATATATATACGTATATATATACGTATGTATATACACGTATATATACGTATATATATATATATACGTATAATATACATGCGTATATATATACACACGCGTATGTATGTACACGCGTATATATGTACACGCGCGCGTGTATATATGCACACGCGCGCGTATATATATGTATACGTGTATATATATACACGTGTATACGCATATATATACGTGTATACGTATAATATATATGTGTATATATATGTACGTATATATATACACGTATATATATATATATATATATATATAGGGCCTATATACTTTTTAGGCCATGTATCATGCATAGGAACGTTGACGCCTGCAAGGCTCCGGTTTTGTTTCTTAATATCACTTATTCTTAACTTAACAATCCTTAATAAATGAAGCTTTGTCATGAACGAATTTGCTGAAACCAAATATAACCATGCTGTATATATACTGTCTCTTATACACATCTAGATGTGTATAAGAGACAGGCTTTACAGAGAAATAATATAGTCCAACTGAGAAAAAGCAAATAACAATAAAATAATAACAAAAAATAAAATAAAAATAATCATAATAGCAATAATAACAATGAGACTAAACTACTCCTATTTCTTAAACTAATTAATGGTTGGCCGTTGACTCCGAGGAGCTCATCCGCCCTTTGTTCAGCTATTGGTTTTTCTTGCTGCTGGGTGACCATAAACACCCTCCCCTCAGCAGCCACTAAGACATTTGAGAGTGTTGTCAGTTTAGTCGCCGACGCTTCGACCGAATGGAGTTTAATGTCATACCCAGAACGTCCCTAACTACCTTAAGCTATATAGTGGAATATCTTTGCAAAATTTTGGTTTGGTGTCTGAAGGACGTAATCAGCTTCATAAATGAGTTGTATCTGTCTCTTATACACATCTAGATGTGTATAAGAGACAGTAATCAGTCCGCATAGATTTTTCAGGGAAAAAGCTTTTGGTGGGAAATTAGAAATTGAACGACCAATAAAGTACAGTATTCGAAGATCTTCATTTGATAGCAGAGGCTCGTTTGGGTTAAAGAGGTAAAGAAAGGCCGCGCTTACTTTAATTATACATACGTTTATTAAAATAAAATAGTATTTCTATGCTAAAATTAGCAGCCACCTGCTGTGCAACTGTGTTGTGCATTTGTCGTCATTCTCAATGTTGTCTTTAATGTTTGGCCATTCATGTACTCTCTTTCAATTTTTGCAGTAAGCATATGCTTTCTGAGCATTATTTTGTAGGCTATTTTTGTAGGCCAAGAGAAATGTCTATATATCAAATACTGTACCACTCAACAATAATATACAACAGCATAATCTTGTCTATATGGAATGTATGGATATATGTAGCATGAGTTTTGAAGCTCAAAATTAATGCTGTAAAATTAAGATGTAGAATAACCATCTAGGCCTACATTAGTCATGTTTTAATCAATTTCACATGTCCCAGCACCATTAAACAAGAGAAACAAGGAAACAAAAATAGTTTACATGCATTTCAGTACATCAAAACATATCTTAAATATCTTGCACAGGGGCGGATCTAGAGAATTTTTGAGAGGGGGAGGGGGGTGCAAAAAATGAAGTTCACGCTGCCACACCCACCTCAGCCCCACCATGGTTGGTTGGTGAAAATAAGTGGTAAATAACCAACCTCTACTTTCACCTAGGGGTGGCGCCAGGATTTGATGGGGGGGGGGCAATTCCCTCAACGAGGGGTCAGATTTCCCAGACGAAATCAAAGTGGGCGTGGTCGAGCTTTGAATTTCGACAATTTAGGGGTTTCAAAGCTTAATTGATTTTAGAGTCTACGTAGGCCTATGTAGAAAATACATCATTTTTTTTCTCCCCGACAAATTGTGCTTTTTCGTCCGAAAGGGGGGAAATCTCCAATGCGGGTGCCCTCCCGTCCTCTGGATCCGCCACTGTTGCATTATATAAAAATAAATGAATTATTTTTTGTCATTACTTTTAGTAGAGAGTTAAAAATATACTGTCCTGTTACCCCCTTTCTCCCTCTGAGTATGGTGCATAATAATAAAAGCAAAATCTCAAAATAAAAAAATGATAACGTATATATATTACAATTATTATAACTAGAATTTTTTTCAAGATTCAAGATTTTTATTGTTTCGAAAGCCATCGAGGGCCATCATCCACTCATTAACAAATAGCAATACAAAACCAACGCAATAATTATCTTACATTACTAGTTAAAAATGCCTAATTTAATTTTAATCTCAATGGAGGAAATAAACAAGGAGTCAATGGTTAGGTCGTTGGCCATTTCAATTCCATGAAGAAAAAGAGGAATAAGAGTTTCGGTAGAGAAGGAATGCTTCAGAAATTTAAGAATGGAAAGTTTTCGCATGGCAGATTTGTAAACAGAAATAATGTGATCATGCCATTTCAAATTATTCGACATTAAGATACGCAAGTATTTAATATTATCAACGGAATAAAAAAAAGTACCATTAATGTATAAAGGAGATATTATAATTATTATGTCTACAATATATTATTTTATTTATTTTTTTAGTTTCGTCACGATTGCTTTACAAATCCACACCATGATAGGCAAAGGATAGGATAGGATATCAAATAATAATCAAGTATCAAGTATTATTTTATTGGATCTACCTAACTAAATAATATATCTTAGCTACAGAATTAATTAATAAATTAATTAACTAATGTAATTTACAAATTAACCAGCCAATTAATCAATCAATCATTTCAATATCAATCAACTAATCAATCATTCATTCATTCAATCTATTAATTAATATTTTCTTTTAAACAAAAACAAAAACTATAACCTACAACTGTAGGTATAATAAATAATAATAATAATGTTGTATTTATATAGCGCTAGATGTGTATAAGAGACAGGCTTTACAGAGAAATAATATAGGCCAACTGAGAAAAAGCAAATAACAATAAAATAGTAACAATAAAATAAAATAAAAATAATCATAATAACAATAACAATGAGACTAAACTACTCCTATTCCTTAAACTAATTAATGGTTGGCCATATAATATTAATTAATATTTTCTTTTAAACAAAAACAAAAACTATAACCTACAACTGTAGGTATAATAAATAATAATAATAATGTTGTATTTATATAGCGCATATTGCACATTGCCCCTATGCGCTTTACAGACAAATAATATAGGCCAACTGAGAAAAAGCAAATAACAATAAAATAATAACAATAAAATAAAATAAAAATAATAATAACAATAACAATGAGACTAAACTACTCCTATTCCTTAAACTAATTAATGGTTGGCCGTTGACTCCGAGGAGCTCATCCGCCCTTTGTTCAGCTATTGGTTTTTCTTGCTGCTGGGTGACCATAAACACCCTCCCCTCAGCAGCCACTAAGACATTTGAGAGTGTTGTCAGTTTAGTCGCCGACGCTTCGACCGAATGGAGTTTAATGTCATACCCAGAACGTCCCTAACTACCTTAAGCTATATAGTGGAATATCTTTGCAAAATTTTGGTTTGGTGTCTGAAGGACGTAATCAGCTTCATAAATGAGTTGTATCTTATATTTGCAGCATAGGCATTCATGTTTACAAAAGCATATTAGGTTTACAATTTCTTGGTTAGGCAATTATCATGTTCATAAAAGCATGCACGGCTTACAATTTATTAGATAGTATAATACATACTTTCCTGATGATGACAAAATTAATGTTGAAATAAATATTGAATCCCACCAAGATGGCGTGCATTTCGATACTTGGAGTATGTACTATACTATCTTATCTGAGATTAATCAGTGGAACTTTCGATTTTACAATTTATTTGTTTAAAGAAATTGTAAATCAATGTTGACAGCAATCTCTTTTAAATGTAATTGGTATTACATCTGCCTGGTACCACTGTCAATATTGCGTACATTTGGGACAATGGATGGATGAATTTATTTGGTGTAAATAAATATATTACACTAAAGAACGCAGTACACTCTTATATTTATACACTATTCTCTATACGATAGACCACATATCTATTATAGATTCTCAGACCCAAGAAAGTCTGAAGATAGTATAGATATAACAGATATGTAGTGTATATTATAGAGGATGGTGTACTGTACTATGTTCTTTAACATTCACATGGAACAATGGCTTAAGCATCTCATCCAAAAGGAAAGCAGCAACGGAAATTGAATCAGGAACCTGCAGTTCTCAACAGTTCAGCGTGGACACAGTGGCTACCACCAGTTTTGTACTTCAGTTTGTTTCAAAACCACCGCGTGTTCCTTCTTATAATTCTCTTGAATTCTGCTTCAAATTCCTTATAAGATTCGTAAGTTGTTGGAAGGAAGAGGACGTTATAGTGAGTATCGGCCGTAAATGCTCTAGCCGAGCCACGTCTGACTGCTTCAAAATTAATACGAATTGGTTGAAGCGGCAGGTTAGATGATGTACAATGGAGCAGAAATCGTTGTGACATTCTGTCATCAAAGCTGACGACAGATTGAAGAAGATCTCCAAAGGCTCTCCTCTCATTTTCTGTCATGCTTAGCGGGATTTCAAAATTGTGTATGATAGAACTAGAAATAATCGGCTGCCTTGCCTCATCTGGAAATGCACCCGTTTCATCTGCCTATCATGAAAGGAACATAAAATTTAAAAAAAACAATCAGTAACCGAGATCGCCTAAAATAAGCTCATACACTGAGTAGGAGAAAACATTGCAAAAAGCAGACGCAACTTAAAATTAGTGATTACCATAGATGAACGGAGTGATATTGCTGTTCTTTCAGCCATAGATTTCATGCTTAGTGCAATGCCATTTGCAACTTCAAATTCATCATCATCCTCCTCCAGGCATTCTTCCAGAAATCTTGAATAAAAAAAAAGTCTGTTTCAGTAATTATAATGAAAAATGATAATTGACAATGGCAGCGGGTGTGTGATAGCAACCATGTTTTATTTTTATATGGCCACTACGCACAATACAGTGGCGGATTCAAGGAGGAGGTTGCGAACCAAGTAGCCCCTATGTTTTTGAAAATTGTAAATAAAATTTAGGTGTGAGAGTGCCATTTCCGGCCATCTAGAAGGTCCCATAACCATAAATTTTGTTACCTCCAATTGGGCCCCTCTATTATGGATTCCTGGATCTGCCACAGGGATAAATGGCTAACAAAAAATATTAATATATTACTACTTTTAGTATAACATAAAATCATAAATTTGACATAATCAATTGTTACTGGTTGAAGATGGTGTACAATGCCATCTTCTCATCACAGTTGATAGAATGTATAGATATCCAAAGGAGTTACAAACCTTTCAGCGATAGAACTAGTATTATCCAACAGTCTTGCCTCATCCACAGATGTACCCACTTCATCTGCCTATCACAGGGAAGAACATGAAATAAAAATTAGTTAAAACCAAGATCATCTAAAATAAGACTGAAGTGGAAAAAACATGGAAAAAATAAAAACAATTTAAAATTAATAATTACCATAGATACATTGAGTGGTGTTGCCAGTATTTCGGCTTCAGCCTTCATGCCAGATGTCTTGTAGTTTCTAAGTTCATCAACAACCTCAAGACTTGCATCTACAAACCTTTAATATGTAACAAATGTTTTAGTAATTATAACAAATATGATATAATGATGACGGTGGGAGTGGTGGCTGCATTTTACATTTATAATAGCAAATACTAAATGACCATTATTTACACATAATGGATATACAAGAAAAAATCATTTAGCCAAAATCAAACATTTGTAAGAATGAATGCAAAAAAGGTGTTCACTCTCAAAACAGGATTGCTGTTATTGTTTGGGGAATTACATTTAATGACCCATTTTTATGAGATAATAGTCATAAACTTTAAAACTTAACTTTCAAAGCCTACTGTAAGTTGCCAACGGCGAGCTTTTATCGTTTTGCTCTTTGGTATTTTAAAATACTGTACCAAATGATTTGTACTTTGTATGTGTCTGTTAAATTTTACTTCTGTGCTCTCCTTTTGAGATTTATTGATTGAATCCATTTATTAAATTTTATGCCTAGAGGGAATGGTTAGTATATGTATAATGAAGTATATTGATAAAGAATACTTTAATGAATTAATTACTTAAGTTGAAATTTGATTCATAAATATTATTGATTCAGACTGTGACAGACATTTGTTGTCTTGGTGTAGGCCTATTTTTATATTTTTTTATGTGGTCAGACAGCCCGATGAGCTGTGGCTTGACCTGTCTGATGGGGGAATTAAGCCCCCCCCCCTGCCTCCCCACTGGTGCTGCCATTGCCTGTATTATATTTAAGACTCATTTAATGAAGCCGCCATTGGGTGTCACATTCAACACAAAAAATATAGACCTTAACTAACACAGTGACTTAATTATTTCAAATATCAGGATTTATTAATTAAAGCGAGTAAAATGGCTGAATAGTTAAGGCGGGGCATTCGTCATAATTCTGGTGGTGGAAAAAGTCTTTGAGTAGGGGGTTATCCCGGAGTACTGGTCCATTCAGTTCCTATTGTTGTGGATAGACGAAGTGCCCCTCTTCGCAGCTGATTAGACATGATATGACCCTTAGGGGAGAAGAAAGATGTCAAATGAGTTGTTCTATGCCTGTGCACACTTCAGCTTATAATTAAAGCTACATGTCACAGGGTATTTCCTACCTTTACCTTTAATTTGGTCACTATGCAAACAAAGTATCTTTTTCTTTTCTTTTTCAACTTACTTATTTGCTTGTGTTACACTTTCTTGTGGGTCTTGAGGCCCTGGTAGCTGCAGATGAATAGCCGATTCCGGTGTTCTGTTAACAATACAGTAATTATAATGTTAAACTTACACTGTGTACATATTAAGTCTGGAGCATAAAAATTGTATTTTTCAATATATTCTCTCTTTTTTTAACTTACTTATTTTCTTGTGAATCTTGAGGCGCTCTGAACTGGTTTTCATCAGTCGTCCCACTAAAACCTGAGTCAGGTAATCTGTTAACAATAATGATAAACAGAAGACATTTGGCAATTACAGTAATTGTACCATCTTTCACTCGAACCACTAAAAGTGTTTGACAACATTGTAAGGCAATACAATAGTTATTAACACTATGAACACCTAATATATAGACTACAATTGTTGATAAAATATCAGATTAACACAATTTGCAATAAAAATAACAGCTATTACATCTGCCTTGTAATGTGAACAGGTAGTTACTTTAAGCAACTGTTTATGGCAGCTAGGTGGGACCACGCCCATACGAAATTCAGCACAATGACGCTGCGAATTATGTGTTATTCTCCTACTTTTCTACCATCCTTAATGGAGTTACAAACCTTTCAGTGACAGAACTGGAAATATTTGATGGTCCTGCCTCATCCACAGATGAACCCATTTCATGTGACTATTATGGGAGGAAATGCAATAAAAATTAGTTAAAACCAAGGCTATCTAAGATACTCAGAATACTACATACACTGAAGAGGAGAAATAATATTAATAATAATAATAAATATTCATATAGTGCCTAATGTTAATAACCTCTAGGCGCTTAACAACAAACAAATAAGAAATAAGTTCAAATAGAAATTACCATAGAATAAAAGCTTTCAGTCTTAATACTGGATGCAACATCATTTCCAAATTCATCATCGTCCTCTAGATTTATATCCACAAACCTGGAATCATAATAATATAGTTTAATGATTATAATAATAATAATAATAATTATTGTTGTTTTAATAATGATAAAAAAAACTAGATTTGAACTCGCCACTGAGGACGAGTTTGGTGATCTGCCGTACTTTGACCCCCATAAAGCGCGCGCGGTGCTGATTGAAAAGTTTTATAATATGCTAAAATATTCTGTAACTAGTTTTTTAAAAAAGAATAATTTTCAGCATTTTAAAAGATTTACGCATTCGTACACGTATGGCTTGACGCCCGTGAGCATGGTAATGACACAAAGAGTGACTCCTGATATGAATACAGTGTCAGGAACACAAAATATGTAACAAAACGTGATTTCCAGCTTCAGTACGTTCTGTGTGCGTGGAAATGAACGTATGGCGCGTAAATATGGAAAGTTTGGAATGCAGAAAATGACCCGAAACATTTAAACTATCTGAATAGTGATATTGAGAATTTTCAAATTTTAACATACGCACACATCACGATGTGTGCGTGTACAGTAATGGCACACGAAATTAAATGTTGTCATGTTTTTAAAACTGTTTGTTAGTTATTAATGCCACACAAATTTTCCCTTCATATAACCTATACAGTATATACAAGTCTGCTAGCGTCGAAATACAGCCTGCCGCCCTCTCTGTGTTCTATTTTTTACATCTTTTAAGAATGAGAGATAAGAATGCTCTAAAAATTCATTCTTTTTGACCATGCTGACGTGATCAAAATGATAAATAAAGGGACACGTCTGCATTTTACATTTATGGCATATGCTACATGACTGTTATTTACACAGGAAAAAAGGCTAACAGGAAAGAAATAATTTAAACCAAAACGAACATTTTTAAGATTGAATGCAAGCGGTGTTGACTGATAGTGTTCAGGTAATTGTATACAATAAAAATATTTTGTATTGATTATGTTATGGCCTATTGTTTTTATCGAAGATTCCTTGGGAGAGTAGGATAGTTTTGCCTGTGAAGCCACTTTGTATAGAACACACATTAATGGAATGGCATTCAGGCCTTATGGCGTGGCAGATATAAATATTTACTATTCATTATTTTGTTAATTATATCATATTAATTATGTACTATACTGAGATATTGGTATGGAGTAGCTCTATTAAATGTGCTGCTTGGTGTATGCAAAAGTATGGAGCAAAGAATTGTATTTTTTAATATATTCTATTTTTACTTAATTCTTACATATTCTCTTGTGAATCTTGAGGCCCTTTGAACTGGTTCTCATCAGTTGTCACACTAGCAAAACCCGAGTCAGGTAATCTGTTTAAAATAATGATAATTACAAGACAATAATGGCAGTTACAGTAATTTTATCACCTTTCACTTGAACCACTAACAGAATCGTAAGGCAATACAAAAACAAGTTTACTATTAAGCAATTAGTATTTTTGTTTTCCATAAACTAGAGAAAAATTTGTGCACAAAGTAGGATTAGTGAGAAAAACAAATTTCCGGAAGGTTTTGAAGCCCTGGCCCATCATTTCTGATGATGACATAATTAATGGCCCAATAGATTTTCTGAATACAATAATCAGCTTTTAAAAATATTTTTTTTAGGTGAGTCGTAAATTATAAACCATTTTTAATATTCTGGTGACAACCAATCATTATTTTGTCAATTATATTTAATTATGTACTATACTGAGATATTGGTTTAGAGCATTTCTTTTAAATGTGCTGCCTGTCATATGCAAATATATGGAGCAAAAACAAGAATATGATTAAACAATTAGTATTGTCATTTTCCATATGCTACTGAAGGAGTGAATAGTGCCAAAATATTTGTATGTGCAATTTCTTTATGGTGCTAACCTACCCTTCAGATGGTGAACTCCCCGGGGGTTGAAACATCTCCTCTGGTGGTGTGATGGAATAAAGATCTTCGCTACTTTGTAATGACATAAGTGCTTGAACTCCATCTTCAGCAAGTCTGTAATGACAATAAAAATGTTGATTATATTATGGCCTATAGTTTTTATCCAAAATTTCTTGGCAGAGTAGGGTAGTTTTGGCTGCGAAGCCGCAGTGTATGGAAGACACATTGATGGAATGACATGCAGACTGATGCAAATTGCGTGCCTGATATAAATATTTACTGTACTATTCATTATTTTGTCAATTGTATTTAATTATGTACTATACTGAGATATTGGTTTGGAGCATTTCTTTTAAATGTGCTGCCTGTCATATGCTAAAGTATGGAGCAAAAAATTATATTTTTCAATATTTTTTTTAAAACTTATTTCTTTTGGATTTTGAGGTGCTGTTAACTTGTTTTCATCAGACCGATAAAATCTGAGTCAGGTAATCTATTAAAAATAATGTAGAATATAAAACATGTTTAATATTCCCACAACATAAGACTGTCTTCATGTCGGACTGAATCCATTGTCGCATTTTCAAATTACCATTATCTGCTCACTAAACGTGTCACTGCACAATTTTTACAATCAGTGCAAAATTGAGTGATCAATTTGACAACTAAAATTAGAGTGCTTTTTTCATATACTAGAACTGTTTTATACAACACCTCCCCCTGAAATATTCTACCCCATTGTGTACTCATAAACATTCATTATTTGTAGACTGTTTCACATAACTCGGTACACCCAGGGAGTTGTACAACTCCCTGGTACACCATAGCATGGAGGTATTATAGTAGATAGGCCTAGGGGCCTAGGCCTAGCTGTTTGGTTTGGGGCGAACTTTCAAGTACAGTAGCTCATTATTATGATTTTTATACAGTATTAAGTCTCATTAATTATGAAACCAGTGATCATTTTTTTCTTCAAAGTTTTCTATTCAAAATCGTTCCCTGTTTTGACAGTTGGTCGGATGCTAGGCCTAATAAGTCGGGCATCCATTCACTTCCTGAATAACCGTAGGCCTAGGCTATGCCCTAGCTAGCCTAGGGCCTAGACTGTGACCTAACCAGAAAGGCTAATTTATTTTGCTTAGCAAATTGGCTGATTAATTGTCATTTTTACCTAAGTTTACATTCAAAGAATGTGCTTAAACATAAGTGCTTTATGTCTGATCTGGTTTTGTTTACATTTTCGCCCTAAAATATACTTACCTGAAATAACTATCAACCATTTTGCGTCTTAATATTGCATAATCACTGATCACTAGCCGGTTTTTCACTTTTATTCGCGCGAAGCGTTTGATTGTACGCAGGCGCAGTTTATCAACATGCAGTTCACACACTGCCGCGAGAGGGCCTGACTCGCATGATATGACGCACTTCCGGTAAAAACCGTTACAATTCTGTAACGCAAAAAAATACACTAGCTGCTCGTTCTTCCTCTATACAGTATATTCTTTGAGAGTACTCTTTGGTTGTATATTGTACAACATTACACATTATTGTCGATTAAAGTGGTCCAAAGCTGCTTCGGAATCTTCCCAGGGACACTATTAATTTATGTCATAATTATGTCTTATCAACTGTACTTTCCAGTCAAGGACTTGCTGCAATTTTTCGCTTTTTTCAGGAACAACATAAGACATTTTCACTCAGTGGACCCCTATTATATAAAGTACGTTTGAGAACATGACAGAAGTTATAGAGGTGACATGAAATTATTTCAAAGTGAGCAAAAGTAATTTCAAATGTGTTGCATGCCTGCGTTCAAGTGTGGTATTTGTGAACTTTATTTGATGTCGTATTCCATGGTACAGTATATGGGTTGACTTTAAAGGCTAGTGCAGTATTTGTGAACTTTATTTGTTGTGGTATTCCATGGTATATAGGTTCACTTTAGGTTGCATGCGTCATGTGATTTATGTGCATCGATGGTGGGATGTTCGAGTCCAACAGCAATTACAACATGCATGCCATGGTTCATGTGGTGTATGTACAGTAGGCCTATATATGCTTACATGTTGCTTGTTGACTAAGTTTTCTTATTGTTGATTCATAGCTTATAACACGAAACTGTATATGTTTCTAGTCACTTTATCCACCTTTTAAAATCAGTAATATAGTGCTGAAAGTGCCTACAGTATAAACAAAATTATTTGTGGTTACTATTATTATTATATTTATTATTGTGATTTTATTCGGCGAATTGTTGTATTTGCTAGTGCACAGAGACAATTTCAAAATTCGCCATTTTTTTTTTTACTATAGGCCTAGTTATAATTCAAGTGTTCATATCCAAGCAACCTTTAGGCCTACATGATAATTGTAAAATGGTAACTGCAAGGCTAAAATCCATTGTTAAACTATCAAATTTAGTTAATATTACTATTAATATTTAGCCAGGATTTGCCCGACTGGGGGACGGTGCTCCCGACGAGGGTTCAGATTTCCCCGACGAACGCAAAGTAGGCGTGGTCAACTTCGATTAAAATGTGTCGAAAGTGGTCCTGGGGGCGAAGCCCCCGACAATTTTTACAATTTAAGTGTTTCAAAGGCTTATTTAATCGATTTTAGAGTCTAATATGTAAAAAATACATAGGCCCTATATTTTTTTTCTTCCCGACGAATTGTGCTTTTTCTCCCCGACGGGGTGGGGGGGGGGGGCCTCTGCTGGCGCCATCCCTGATATTTAATATTACTATTAATATTTAGTTAATATTGTATGTTATGGCATTATTCAGTTCAATAACTATTTATTCGTCTACCCGTATAAAGTTTAGTATGTCAACCCATGTGAAATACAAATTTACATTCAGTATACAAACTATTACAAACGCTTGGGAAATTTCCTTTTAACTGTTCCCTGATTAGGAAATGTATGAGGCACACACGTCATCGGAACACGGCATCCAAACCAAAAGACTCAGAATGACGTCAGTGACTCAAACAAGTTGAGGAGCAAAGGTAGCATTATGTGACAGCCGTTCGTTAACGTCTAGCACCCCGACGAATTGTGCTTTTTCTCCCCGACGGGGTGGGGGGGGGGGGGCCTCTGCTGGCGCCATCCCTGATATTTAATATTACTATTAATATTTAGTTAATATTGTATGTTATGGCATTATTCAGTTCAATAACAATTTATTCGTCTACCCGTATTAGTATGTCAACCCATGTGAAATACAAATACATTCAGTATACAAACTATTACAAACGCTTAAGGGCCTGACGACTTAATTCAATGTTAATGCAAATCCCTTGTATTCATTAGGACAGGGAACAGTTAAATTAACTGTTCCCTGATTAGGAAATATATGAGGCACACACGTCATCGGAACACGGCATCCGAACCAAAAGACTCAGAATGACGTCAGTGACTCAAACAAGTTGAGGAGCAAAGGTAGCATTATGTGACAGCCGTTCGTTAACGTCTAGCACATTGCAAAACACACAAGTACCGTACAACGTCTCGTCGAGAACACCCCCCCCCCTCCCCACCACACACACACACGCCCTAACATGCGGGTTTTTAAGCTTGGTTCACATTAGAGAAATCTAGACGCATTTGACGGAAATGCAAAAATAAAGAAAAACATCTTCATCGGCGCCGTCGTAGTTGTTCCTCATTTAGTAATTATTATTATCTTATCTTGATAATATTTTCTTTCTCTGGCTTGCATTTCAGATCTTGAAGATTAATACATGTATTGAGAATGTAGTGTGAGATCTGGATATCGAGTATAGAAAATGGCGGCAAGAGTAAAGCCAGCGAGTGCCCCGGGTAGAATATCATGCCGTGACGATATCTGGAAAGATATTCAGGATTGGGCAAAACCTTCGGGACGTAACGACGACGATGACCAAGCACTTGTGATTGGTTCACAAATCAAAGACAATGTCACAGAACAACGTATGCTGGAAAGTCGTTTGTTTGACCTCTCAAAAGAAAGGTATAAATTTATAGTTCAAGTTGCATGGCAACGCAAAGCATTCATCGATCGACAAAAACAGAAAACAAGCGTAATGAAAGATTTGTTGACAGGAATCGACACCACAGAAATTCAGCAGTCCACCAAGAAAAACCATGGCACTACGTTCAAGGAAAGAATAAAGCAGTATAAAGAACTTGTAGAAAAAACATATCCTCCAAAACCAAAATCAGAGCGCAATAGAAATAATAACGAATTGTTCGAAAAGAAACCGATTTTCGTTGATCGTATTTACAAAACAGAGCCAATTTTCAGTGAAAGAAAATCTAGAAAAAGCACAAGCCCTATTAAAAGATACGTAAGCATACAAAGTCCTGGTAAATGCGCCTTCTTTCCAGCCATCGAGACGCAAGTGCGAGACCGACGCATGCAAACAGCACAGGGTCGTCAAAGTGTACCAGTGAATTTTATGCGCCATGAAAAGGTATGGACAGCCACTGAGTCGAAAGAAGGAACTGACCGAAGTAAACATAGACCTAGTATTTCAACTCCAATTATTCGACCAAGGTACTTAACATACAGGTCAGTATATGATAGGCGTTTTATGACTCTGCAAAACTGTCTGACTCGTCCATACAACCCGAACTCACATGGAAATAACGATTTAATGAATCGAATGGAACAGCTAAACAAGACATTTTGTTCTTTGCCAGTGCGAGATCCACCGACATCTGATTTGATTAAAGAAACTATAGTAACTACAAAAGTGAGCGATTGAATGCTTTTTGGGAAAATAGTTCGTGAAAAATCCACCCGCGTTTAAGCGCATGCTCACTTGCCGGGATCATCAATAATTGATGTTTCACCAGTTGCTGAGCATTCGGAAGAATTGCATTGATGAATAAACATGAAATAAGTAACGCACCACGCGATATTTTCATTAACTTTACATCATTTCTAAATGAATATTGCCGTAAGGTAGAGATACAAGAATGAGTTGATACGACTTAAGCAGAAGTAATACAAAGATCGGATCCATCTTCTCCCAAGTCGCATCGCCAGATTTTAACTTGCGTTCAAGGAGATACCTACATTAGAACTAAATTGAGACGATTTTTCATACCTATTCAATGCAGTGGCGGATATAGGGGTTGAATAGGGTGGCTAGCCACCTCTCTTAGGTGACCGTGAAAAAATGATCACTTGTCTTGTGTGTGTGCTTTTCATGTATACATGTTACGTGTATTAGGCTACTCTGCATACACTTCTTATTTTAACTTAACTGATTTTCAGATGTCATCCAAGAGCATCTAGCCGGCTACTAATTCTAAACAAATTTCAATTGGAAGGAGCGGCCCTCCCAAAACCCATGATCAATGGGGGACAGAGGAACACGTCTCCAAATATTTTAAGGGGGTGGGAGGTTGGTCTCCTTACATTTCGTCAGCAATGTAATAATTTAAGAAGACGTCAAGAAGACGCCTGAACATTATGAAATGAACTGCAAATGACCCAGGTTTTAACGAAAGGGTGCTGTACAACAAGGTGGGTGTGTGACTCACGAAAGGTCCCCCTCACCTTTCGAAACAGGTCTGTGCCCTTGCCAAAATCACGCCCCCACCCGCTTGGAGCTTTGCAAACGCATTATTCATCCCCCATTGCTAAATACTAGATCCGCCACTGCAAGGACAAGCACCATAACCACAGCCTATCAATATTAGCTATTTTTTGATAATATTTAAAGCTAGCTATTGATAGAAGTATAGATATAAAATAAAGACTGAAAAACCCAAGAGATGTTATGCTGTCATTTAGTGATAACTGAAGTACCGTAAATACTTTAATAAGCGCCGCTCTTGAATAAGCACCGCTCTCGAATAAGCATCGCAACAAAGCGCCGCTCTTTAATAAACCTCGCGGAGCTTAATCAAGAGTATACAGTATATTACCCTGTGTATAATCTGTCTCTTATACACATCTCTGTATATACTGTATCATCATCTCTCACGGCCATCATAAGTAGCCAATATTGTTACTATCATCAACATATTGTTGTTTGAAGTTGTACATCATGGAAATTTCTGTTGACTGATGTGGTTGAAAATGAATTATAATGTACCATATTCATCACCATTTACAGATGCTGCCATCATCCTGTCGCATTCCTCACAAAATGGCACGAGAAATAAAACATGTTCAATCAGACAAAAGTATACTGTTTATTGTTTATTTTTTAAACCGTAAAGTATTATACAAACCCAATAGCCCTAGTTGAACCATAGACTTTTTTATTTGTACGAAAAACTGTCTCTGGCGGGATTCGAACTTGCACTGTTATTATCTATTCGTTTATATACTGTACATAGGCCTATATATACACATTAATTTCAAAATTAATATACTGTAGCTCCTCCCAGGGGCTGAACTGTCCGACCATTCTATAAAAAATTATAGCTTTTGGTCATTCGTTGATGCTTCGTCTCTATTAAGTATACTGCTGCTATTTATTAGCCATATAATAGATTACTTCTTCCATTGACTGATATTATTAGACATAGCATTAAGCATGAACGCCATTGGGTTAAATCCAAAGCGGTGGTCAAACGGATCGAATTCTGAGTGGTTCATTCTATCAGAACGGTTGCGTGGTCGTCGGCGTCGGCGACGGCCGTCGCACCGATCACTTTCATCACACGGGACGTTATGGTTTGATGGTGAAGGTGACCTTGACCTTCTCCTACCAGCGGAATCTTGATGACATTGACCTGTCATCCATACTGGCATTGTAGGCATACTTAGATTCGGGTGATTAGTGTACATGCTGAACATGCAGAAATCGTTACCTTTGTCATCCGAATGTGACCATGAAAAAGCTCCGAATGACACATGTTCTCCACGTGCATCCTTACCCTCATTCTTACCCTCATTCTGATTGTCTTCCTTGTTTCCACGTTGCTCATTATCCCGGTCTTCCCTGTGGGCTTCATCGTCACTCATGTTATCTGCTATTCCGTCGGTAGGCTTATTTTCGGAGCAACGCTCAGAATCATCATCCGATTGTTGTATATCGTGTTCATCCGTCACTACACCAGAGTCCAACGAACTTAGATCATCATCTTCATCCAGATCATCAGTAAGCCCAGTAGGCATATTACTGTTGCTGTCCACAGGCCCATCTTTTTCAGTAATTAGGCCTACACTATCTTTCCTTACGTTAACTTCTGTTTCATCTGAATCACAAATTTCCATAGCTTCAACTGCGTCTAACAGCGGGTCCATGTGGTCCACACTAAAACTGCCAGCATTCGCATTGGAGTCATAGTATAGACCTGTATATCTATCTGGACTAGCCATCATTTATATGTGAATTCAGTGTATTTATTTTGGTTATGAGGTTCTGCTAACGTTGCAGAATCGTTTTAAAAACGAGATTACCAATCATTATGCAATAACGAGAGAGGGCGCCTTATAAAACAATTAGAAAGAAAAATGCCCCGCCCACTACTAAATATTTCCACCTATGGAACGCTAGAAAGGCAAACTGCGCTGTAGTTTCGCAATTTCGTTCCAAAAAGATGCGAGAGTCAGCAGATGTAATATAAATGTTTTTGGTCATATGTTGCTGCGTCAAGTTTTGGAACAGTGAGAGGATTTTGCGAAGATCGAAGCCGACGAGTGGGTAAGTAGCGAGTAAGACGACTAATAAGGTGTGGAGGTACACTGATCTAACGGTATGACGTTTAAAACGTTAGCCTATATTATGACGTCACCAAGTGAACAAACTCCAGGTAGGGTCGATGGGTGATGTATTGATATATGTTTAAACAATAATAAACAGTATATGTAAACTCGAAAGTTATGAATGAGTGTAGGGATATATGTTCACGATGTGGTAATTCGGCACAGATGCAAGTCATGTTTGACGGAGTGTACCAGCTCTAGGGGCAATATGCAGCGGCTTGAGAATGTCCAACACAAAGCCACCAAATTCATATTCATTACCCAGATTATAATTACAATGACAGGCGCCTCATCATGCACTTACATTTACAACCTCTTTCTTTTCGGAGAGAGTATCTTGATTTGTCATTTTTGTATAAATGTTTAACTAATTTGACAGATTTATATTCATAATATTTTGCCACTTTTACTATCAGACCGGGTAATGGTCGACCACACAAATTATCCTGTCCCCTGTGGAATTCGTTGCCACATTCTATCACCATTTCAATTTTAAACAAGGCATTAAATGACAATAATGTCCTAAGCGACCAGTTCTGTGTGGACAATGTCTGCACAAATGAATTACCTGTTGCCGCTGTGCCAAGAATGTCGGCTTTCTTGTCAAACTGAATTTGTCTTATCTATTTAAATTGTTAAATATTTAATATTTAGTTAAATTTGTTTGTAGTATGGGGTATGATGTTTAAGGTAAAAGCAGTTATAAATAAAAATAAATAACTTACAGTATATTGTTAACATTAAGTATTGTATATTTTTTCATGTGGCTATTGTTATGGACAGTGCAATAATATATGGTCTTGCCAAATTCCTGATGCAATTTGTTCTGTCAGTGTACAATCTATAAAATCTAAAAAACAAAAATAACTCGATATAGGTACGGTAATGTATTTTTCCTATTCTGGCGTGCCATACCTTATACATACACCCAAGCTCTCGTGATGATGTGATCGCCCATTACCGCTGGTACAAAAATCTTGATTTTCAGTGGTGGTAGCACGTGACAAGGTACCAGCAAGTAGTTGGTACCGGCTGTAGTAGGTACCAGTTACTTAAAAAACATTAACAATACATTATTGTATTGTAAAGTAGTGATTATTTCGATTACAGTTCTTGAAGGAAGGACAAAATAGTCTTATTTACTATTTATTTGTGTGTGTATAGCCTAGGCTAGCAGAGGTAGCAAATTTTCTTGTTTGTAACCTTTCTCGTTGGAAGGCCAAGATGCAATCTCCCTGCCAGACCGTTTGCTTCATCGCTGGCGCTGTTGTTATTGTAGGCCTAGCCTTAGCGATTGCAATCCCATATCGATATGGGACATACGGTGATACGTTGTTCAGTTTAAGTCATATGGACACATTTCCTCTTACACCCGACAACAAGAAACTTTCAACAACATTCTGCAGCAGTTTTGGTGTTGAAACCGTTACTCCACCAAATGAAACTTTTGGTCTTCTGATTTACAATGAAGAGCCACCACTATCGTCACAACGGGAGACATACGCTTTCCAAAAAAATATAACCCTACTACCAAATGAATTTGTGGACTATACTTTTTACCTTTTGAAGGGTTCGGATGTGACAGTGGATATATGCAGTCATGTTGGTTCTTTACATTTTTATGTCTTTGAGTACTTGGCTGATTTTGATCAATGGAAGACGGACAAGTATTGTTTTTGCTGGACCCAGGATCATGTAATTCCACAGTGTGATGATGATAATCATCCCATAAGTAATTCGATCTCATTCATTACAAGCGGTCGGAAGTATTTTGTCTTTCAAAATAATCTACAGCCAAACAAAGTCAACGTGGCATTTGACATTCGGAGTGTAGTTTATAATAGTTCGTATGCGACTCAAGTGATACGAAGTACCACGTCAGCATCTGTGGGAATTGAGATCGCAACGAAGAGCTTCATCACGATCACAATGGCACCATACAGCGAGGATCAGGATACGGAAGTTTCTGATGTCATACATGTGAATGCTGTGTGTAATCCTCATATAGAATTTTATCTCCTTGTGTTCTTATGCCTTCCGGTCATCATTGGCTTGCTTGCAGCTTTCGTGCTCCAGCGTGTATTGAAAAAGAGCCACAGTGGCAGCAGGTATCAAGGACTGATTAACGAACAAAACTCAGAACAACAAAGCTAAACCCAAGACATCTGCAGTTTTGCATTCAAAGTTTTTGAAAAAGACTCAATTCTTGGAAATGACTCCATAACATTTTACTTTCTTATAATACTGTTGTACTTTATATACAGTACTGAAGAAAGTAAATATTCCTATGATTATGAGGGAACGGAAAAACCATGAATTGCTAGTGCTAACCACGACAGACATTAGCTCTGTCCACACTAGGTTGTGTGATCTACCCATATATGGGCATGGTGATGTCATATGGGGCATGTTGCATGGCAAAATGGCTAAGTTGTAGCAAAAATTGAAATTCAAG